GGCAAATATCGGTAATACCTGAGCTGATCAATGTATAATTACTAACATTATGTAATTTTCTGTCTACCATGCAACTCTTAGGTCCAATTTCTGTTGACTAAAAAAAGGAGTTATGGTAGCTCAGTAGCTTGCCCTTGCAATGCAATTAGTGTTGAACTATCTGTATGATTATTTATTCAATATTACATATGATATAAGGGATTTGTGCTTGATCTTTGGAATACTCAATTCCAGGATGAGTTGTCTGTGAGTGGATCAGGAACTGTTGTTGTAAGATCTCCTAGAGGATCTCAGTCATTTGCTCCATTTCGTGATCAAAGCTCTTCGGTATGGTGTCATTTAGTCATTTTAAAATGTGAACTTGTTATTTCCTTTTTGTCTGCCAGTTTTTTATTTGATCAGATTCCAATATTCTCTGTAGTCTGGCTGCCTGTATGCTTCTTTTGAAGATACTTCTACTAGTGGGACTGTTGTTTTCCGTGGTCAACATGATGATTCTGATTCACCTCGGACTCCAAAATCCAGACTAGGAAAACAAGAGAGAACTTCAGATGCTTCACTTGAAGACAGTGCAGCAAACCTTGCAGAGGTGTATATCCTATTTTTAATGGATAATCTGTTTTTGGTTGTTTGCTAATGTTGTGAGTAATTATTTGAGTTAGATAAGCGGACAACAACCTTCCTTTATGTATAGTAAAATCTCTACCAAGTATATACCAACTCAGTTATGAAAATTCAAAATTCTAATTGTAGGGTTGTAAATTTTCGGAGTTAAAATCATAGAATACATTTTTAAAGGCTAATCCCGTATCCTGTATCTTTGTAGTTCTACTTTCCTTGTCTGCTCTCTCTTGCCTCTTTCTATATCTTCCTCTTTTCTTTTGAAATAATTTTATATCTTCCTCTTTGTTTGACTGTCTTCAATCTTTTCTCTCAACTTGGAACAGTTTTCTTTTCTAAGACTTCGCTTTGAATTTTGTCAATATTGTTTTTAATTATGTCATGTCAAAGTGGTCCTAAGTTCACACTTCAGGTGTCTGCTGCAGGTTGGCATCTTATTGAGCCAATCGCATGTCAACAATTGCTAAATGCTATTACGTTCAGCTTTTTACCCTAAAATCAACTCATTAATCATAGAGTTCCGAAGTGACTGTCTTCAATTTTCAAATCTTACTTGAAGTTATATTCATGGTATTTTATTTAAAAGTTGGATTCAGTTTCTTTCCTAACAGCTTCTAGATACTTTTGTGGTCTGAATGTTCTTAGCGTATGATCTAGAGTATCATCTACTTGTTTTATTTTTATGGCCTTCTGTTTGGTTGACTATTTTTTCCTTTTCTTTTTCAGGCAAAGGCTGTAATTCAAGCAGGTTTGAGGAAAGGAAACGCCAGAGAGAGGTCTGGATTTGGTAGGATGAATAATGACGGGAAGGATAACAGAAGAAGAGAACCAATGACTGATAGTTCTGATTCGTCCAGGTAGATCTAATAGCCAATTTGGTACTTCTATTGTGTTTTGCTGAAAA